TTGCCAATGCCTAGCCGGACACACACAGTCATTTGTTGTGAGCAAAAGGAACACGTATCGGCAAGCCAGACTCAGAGGCAAAACTGTGGCTGCAAGAGCCAGCACACTTGCGTGCATGCACACACATACAGAGACAGACAGACAGACAGACAGACACACACACAGATACACACACACACACACACACACACACACACACACACAAATACCTGAGCTGGCGCCGGTGACCAGGCCCCATTCGGCGTTGTACTTCTTCTTGAGGTTGACGGGGAAGAGATCGAGCACAAGGTTCTGGAAGAGGATGGTGCCGACGTAGCCGACAACGGATGCGCAGCCGATCCAGAAGAATGGGGCAACCGACCAGTGGAGCTGGAACACGGTGCGCTTGATGCTGCAGGCCGTCGCCAGCATGGACTCCACCACGGTCGTCGGCACGGGCGGAGGAAGCGTCTCTGGCACAAGCACGGTCGTGTCTGCGACAGGGGCAACAGCAGACTGGCCGACCTCAGCGCCCAGGTACTCCGCAGCAGCCATCGTGTAGCCGTGCAAGGTTGTGGACGTGTACGCCATGGCGTTGCCAACCCAACGTGGCGCGCTCTTCACGTAGTCCACCACAGTGTTTGTCGTCGTCATCGCTTCACTTTGCACTTGCTTCACTTTGCTTGAGTGACACTCGACAACAGCTCGCTGTATTGGGTGGTGTCTTGAGGAAAAGTGTTGGAAATCGTTCACAGATCGCCACGACCACGAAGCACCAGGACGATGATGATGAGCGAGAAGGTGCGAGTGGCGACGGTGGGTGTGCAAGGGGATGGCGGTGCCAGCGATGCCGCCGCCGCTGCTGTTCTTGTGTTGTGTGAGGGGTGCCGGGCCCTGGTGTTGGAAGGGAGCACAGCCAACATTGTTGGTGAGCAGTTGAAGCAACGACTGCACCGGCGGTACGCCAGTGCTGACGCTGAAATTGCTGAGGACGCGAAGGAGGAGCAGAAGCAGGAGGGTGACGACAGTTACGATCCCACGTGCTGCTTCTGCATGGGCGTGCTCAAGGTCCGTGTATGTATGTACGTGCATTTACGTGTATATGAACATATGTATGTACGTGTGTGTATGTGTATATGAACATGTGTGTGTGTGCATGTGCGTATTGTGTGTGTGTGTGTGAAGGTGTAGCAATCTCTGCATCTGTGTGTGTGTGTGTGTGATTGGTGGTTAGCTCATCTGTGGCACCTGCATGGCATCGTCGCCACTGCTTGGCCTTTGCAGTACTGCACGGACCCGGCATTGGGGAAGCTGTTGATGGAGAATTTGAAGGCATCGGAGTATGATTCCACCAGCATGGACGTCGGCATCACCCTGCCGCTCTCCTGGCTTGTGCGCGAGCGCATCATCAACCTGCACCTGGACATGCAGTACGTTTGCGTATGTGTGTGTCTGTGTGTGAATATGCTTGAGTGTGTATGTGTGTGAACGTACTTGAATGTGTGTGTGTGTGTATGCGCGAATATGGGCTGTGGTTCTGTGGTTCACGTGTGTGGACGCTCCTCCTCGGTATCGCTCACACCTGGGACATTGTCTTCACCACGTACATGGCTAACACTACACAATCGCTCACTCGCTTTGTTGATGTTTCCCGCAAAACCAGGGGCAACACGCGAACCCGCGCTTCCCTGATGATGCTCAAGGACGTGGTGCGCATCTGCGTCCAAGCGCACTACCAGCGCGCTAGATTCACCGTTACGCAACAGAGCCCCTTGCAGACAATCGTGGTACGCAGCCGATGAGACGTTTGTGGCATGGGGATGCCAGCTTGCGCTGCGCTGCATGACCACTGACACACACTCGGGCTTCTCCCTCACCAGTCATCTACTCACCCATTCGCCCATCTCACCAAGCTTCTTTCTCCCGCGTTTCATCTCACTCTGCCCATCTCAGTTCTTTGAAGTCAGCCCGCACCCACAATCTCCACGCCCAGCCTCGCCACCGCAATCACCAAGTACGACTGCAGGTGGTGCCGAGCAGCAGCAGCAGCAGCAGCAGCAGCACGAGGAGGAGGAGAAGGATGGGTGTTCTCGCAGCGGCGGTGGTGGCGGTGGTGGTGATGGCGAGAAGGGGATGGAGGGTGTTGAGGGCGGTGGCAGCCGTGCACCACGCCGGCATGGGCGGGCGCACTGCCACGACGATGGAAGCCAGAGCGGCCAGAACAACGGGGAGGAGATTATCGTATCGGAGGAGCTGCGTGTGCTGACGCAGTTGCGATCGCACATGTTCCGGCCGCGTCGGGCCCGCCGTGGCCGCAAGAAGCCGTCTGCTGCACACAATCAGGCCTCCATTGCGCAGGCGCTGGAGGATCTCTCCGACGGCGAAATCAAGAGGTGGCCACGCACTCTGTGTGTGTGCGTGTGTATTTGCGTACTTGTGGTGTGTGTGTGTGTGTGTGTGTGTGTGTGTGTGTGTGTGTGTGTGTGTGTGTGTGTGTGTAGCGCTTGCGCGTGTGTTGTGG